GGGAAAATGGCAAATGACCAAATGCATCAGTCAGGAACAGTGAGTAATCACTTTAAATGCAAACAACTGTTAGCAGCACATTTTAGCACATTAATAATTCACACTCCACATAAAGTTTAATTTATTTAAAGTGAGAGTTCTGCAGCATAGTTACAAAAGGCACGCATGATCCTGGGGATAAAGGATCCGTAGAGAGGCTGTGACTCCAAGGGAGCCAAGCCCAGGCTGCCAAGCCTCTTGGTTTTATCACAGGTCTTGCTGTACAGTTTGTGCAATGTCTCTCTCAAACCTCCAATGGCTGGAACAGGTGTGCAGTGTGAGATAATGTCTTTACCCACGTAAAGACAAAAAGGGATTCTGAGGCCGACCGATACTGAAGAAATACATGAAACTGCAAATTGTACACAGCAGAACACTCTGGTATGTCCCCAGCAAAGTCTAAAAAATGCAGTTATCTTCCAAATATCATGAACCTGGAAGTCTCATTGTATGTATAATCATAAACAGAGCTGGCTCTGCTTAGGCTTCCCAACACATACATGTATTTGTAGTCTGTGTCAGTCCCCTGAGCCTTCTTACTCCTCCCAGCCTGGGGAGCCTTGGGACCACAGATCTACTCCTCCAGGGGACCAGCAGGTTGTTCTCCACTCTATTTCCACACAGAGAAATACTGGCAGGCAACATGCTGCCTCTCGTTATTTATCATGGCTTTTTGTGTGTAAAGGACTTCCAGACTGGCAAGTCAGACACCCCATGAGTGAGAAGTGACAGATGTTTCCACTGCTCTTGGACAGGAGGGCACAGACCCTTTTGGTGGTGCTGTTCCATGGACTTTCACTTCACTCCAGGTTCAGGATGGACAGCAGCTAAAGGGAAGGTTGAGAAGAAGGTAACCATTCAGTGTATTTGTTTCTGTGTGTGGTTTTGGGATGGAACTGGGGATATAAAAGGGATGGGGTCTCTTGGGCTTGGTGGTGTCCCAACTTCCCATAATGTTTTAGAGCAAGCAAACGGTTTTTAAAAATACCAGTTGCACACTTGATAATCTTCAGGTGAGTTTTCCCTGTGGAATAGGTGTACCTATATTAAATAAGCTTGCTTTCAAGATTTTTCATTGATTACATGCAGAACAGCTGTCTCTGTGCCCCATCATTTTCCAACGCCTGGCGGCCAAGAGCTCAGCAAATGGCTGTAGGTTTTTAATAATTAATTTAATTACCCTGAGTTCAGGAGAAACTAAAAACAAGGTCTCAAAGTTTGGACTAGATGACCTTAGATGTCTTTTCCAACCTGGATGATTCTATAATACTATAAAACAATTGTCTAAAAACAATTAACTCGGACTGCCAGCCAGCACAACACAGCAGCATACATTCACACCACCCCACCTTACCTGGCCTTCCATACTCCTTGCTGGAAAAAATGCTCATGTGAGGAGTAATTCAGATGTGCTCTCCCTTTGCATTAATTGCACAGAGAGAGCTTACTTTTTCCCCAGTCTGTTTTTCTGGACAGTCTGCAGAACTGTGCTGTATGTGGCAGTATTATGCTTCCCACATTCACCTCTTGCACATGCAGTGATTGCACGCTCTTCTGTAGAAGCACACCACAACCCACATTGTATTTTGTGTTAGGCTGGGACCAAGCCGCCGACAAAACAGACTATCATACACTTTGCAAATGTGCTTTACTGGCGTCAAGTTCTTTGGCTTTCATTAGTGCCTGCCACAAGCAAGTGTTTGGCTTTGTCTCTCAGCAAAATGCTGAATGAGGGAGGAAAGCTAGGGTTTGACCTCTGAAGATCACAATGCATAGTTGTGCACCCACAGCATAGGATCAAGACCTGTCTTGCATTGAAATGAACACAGTCAAAGTGCTCCTTATGTTTCATTTCTCCAATTGCTTTCCTAGTTGTTGGCTTGCTGCTCATTCTCTGAGGTGAATACTCCATTGTTTCCCTAATGTATGCTCAGTGCAGCAATCTCATATGATCTGCTCCCACCTGCATTAACACCCCCACCCCAAGCCCTGTAAAGGAAATGAAACAAAGCAAGTAGGCTGGCTACTGTCAGTGCTAATGACATTTTTGAAGGGCAGGAAAAAAAAGAAAAAATCTGAGAAAAACTTATTGAGTGGTCAGAGTTCAAAGGAGAGAGGAAATTCTGGATCTGAAGCCTGCTCATGCTTGGGATCACAGTGATGTGGTGTGTGCACCCTGGGGTGCTGCAGGGGTTGGAGGACAGCCCAGGAAGGCAAGGAGAAGGCAAAGCACAACAGGCAAAGGATGGGCCTGACTGCTTGGCACTGCTGTGCGGCAGGGGATGGGGCTGCCAAGGTTTTGCAGATAGAAGTCAAGGGACTGACCAACACGTGTGTTTCTGCAGGGGCATCTGCTGAGGTCCAGCTCACCAAGGAGGTGAAGCAACTCTTAGGAAATTTAAGGAAGCCTTGTGATGGTAGGACCAGGGGCACTTTTCCCACTCACAGTAGTTGGTGAAAAGGTCCCTGGCTTTTGGAAGTAAATATCCACTGGGAGCAGAGGGCAGCCATACCGCAGGTAGAGCATCTTCCCCATGGAGACAGAGGGGATGCTGCATCATGGCAGGGCATGCAGGGCAGGTGTGGTTATGCTGGGAAGGTTGGCCACAGCACAGTAATTGTCCAGTAGCTCCACAAAAACAAGGCAGGTCAAGACTGAGACTGAAAATGAGTGCATGGGTCAGGGTCAGCAAGGTGGCCAGACATGGGCATGGTGCAGCACAGCCCAGGCAGGTGCCTTGGCAAGGGCCCCACATCAAAATCAGCTCTTTAGTGGGGCAGGTCCCAGCTGAGGCTTCTCCCAGCTCCTTCTCATGCTTACCGTAGCTGCCTCCCTGCAGCCTGACACCATGTTATCACCACATTGGGTCTGACCTGGCCTTAAGCACAGGCAGCCAAACTCTGCGGGGACATGGGAGGAGGCTCAGACCTCTGGCACAGTGGAAGAGAAATGACTAAATGTAATAAAAGTCTGCAGTAAAAGGGAAAATCCCTGTGTATTCTCTCCCTGCACAACCAGATGTCATGGATGATAGGAGTTAGGAGGATGCAGGTACACCTGGAGGAGCTGGTAAAAGGAGGAAGCTACAAGCAGAAAGGCCATGCGAGAGCAGTAGAAAGGGTGAAAGCAAGCCCTGCTCCCATTCATCTATGCCCCAATTCTGATTTCCCTTCAGGACAGGAAGAAGGAAGATCATGTCCAAAGCTGGTATCTAAAGCTGCCTCATTACCCAGGCTCTCCTAACCATGCCAGGACTGCTGTAGACCGCTGTCCCGTCCTGGCTACAATTACAAATCTGCGCATGACAGGAAGGCTAGCAAATCAGCTGGAAGAATAATAAAAGAGAGAGAGAGAGACTGGACAGCTGCTTTTGATTATTCTTTCTCAGGGCAGTAGGGGGAGAAAAGAGATTGACTTAAAATTCATGGAAAGTCTGTCTTACACTTGATTAGCCTGTAGAAATCATTGCCATGATATACATGTATTCACATATTCTAGGGTGATCACTAAAACTTCCTTCCGCCCAGCATAGGAGAAAAGGCTGTACAGGGTGATTAAAACCAAGAAGCCAAATTTAGGTTGCTCTGAACTAGCCTGTGGAAGCCAAGAGTTTATGCTTACCCTTTAGAAAGGCTGCATCACGAGAGAACCTTGAGAGGATGAGAGGCAATTATACCACAGTGCACCCTGAGCCAACCAGGGGACTTGTCTTTCTTCTGCATATAGTAGTGGATGAAGATGTTACCTCTTCTGAAACACATGCTACTAATCACTTTGAATTTTAGAATTTGAGAATTTGAGTTGTAAACCAGTTATTCAGTATTAATTTTCTTCCCACTCCACAAAGGTAAAATCAGGGATAATGTATCTTAGACTTTGAGATAAATATGCCTCAATTTTAGATCACACCTAGCAGATTGCTCAGGAACCTCAGGGTCTCACATTCCACCAGGGAAATAATAAAAATTAACTAATTAATTAATTATTTAAAATAATAATAATAATAATAATAATAATAATAATAATAATAAAAAAAAAAAAAAAAAAAAAAAAAAAAACAGATCTTAATTTGTTTTTAAACAAGTCTGAGGTCTTTAAACAACCTGGCTTGAGATTTTTGGCACAGCAGAACAAGACACAAGAAGATAGTCCCTCGTTCTGCAGATGTTCTGTGCCATCTGGGGAGGAGAAGCAGAAATTCTTGGTGATGGGCTGCAATTCATCAGTTCCCTTTGAGAACGCTGTAGGCTTTATATTCAATTCTAGGTCTTGACTGAAGAAAGCGTCTATGTCTATTGTTAACACCACATTCTTGACGGCCTGCTTTATTTGTAGGGATTACTATCACTTGTATTGTAGACCAATGGGGAAAGAGATTAAGACATGTCTGTGTCTTAAGGTTCTGTGTGCCACACTGGCAAAACAATAGAAGAGAGATTTCAGTGAGACTGTTTTGCTATTCAAAAATAGCTATGTGGTCATATAAACAGAGTCCAGTGCTGTATGCTTTGTAGCCACAAAAATGCTTCCTTCTGCTAGATTGAAAAGTAACTAAGAATTCAGCAGTTATTTGGTGAGGAAATTTCAGGCAAGGAAATTTTCCCAAGGTAAGTGAATTTTGCACCTGAATTTCATGGTGTAAATGCTATTCACTTCCTCTCTCATTGCTACCCATTCACAAAGCAGCTTGGCAGCAGTCTTAACTTAGCCTGCTACAAGGAACAATTGCATGGAAATGATCAGAGATGTGAAAATCTGCCTTTCCAATGATGTGAAGAATTTCATTAGTAGTTTTATTTTCCACATCATCATAATCCTCATCTGAATGGCTCCACACAGATAATGCCAGTGTGCAACTCCTGTGGAATTGGACTCCTCCACTCCTCCACAGACTGAAGCTGGAAGAACTTGGGATGAAAAATGTAACAGTTTGTACATCATGCAAAGGTATGTCCTTTGGCAAGTGATGACCAATATCACCAATTTTTTATTATTTTTTGTCAGATAAAGTAATCTGGGGTTCTCCATGTTAAAACATGTAGGTTGTTTGCCTGCTTTTCCTTGTGCTTTTTGAATACTTTTCAGCACCAGTTTTCAGTTTTATCCCTGACTTTTCAAAGCCATAATTCCATGTTTATATATGATAAAAAAATTAGTCTATCATCAAAAAGGCAAGAAGGTAAGTGATATTGAGGCCAGCCCTATTTCTGTGGAGTGGAGATATTCATGTGTTCTGCTTATTTTTAGCAGAAGATGGTGGATAAATCTGAGCCAGCACGTTTTTCATTCAATCTGTCCCTGGACACTAACAGATGGTGCTTTCCTGTGCCAAGTACTAATGCACTTTACATTGGCATTCAGTGTCAGGACACAAAGCTCGCCAAGTCCCTGCTAAATCTGCTGATGCCAGGGAAATTGATAACAAACAACTAGCCAGGGACACCGTCCCAATCTTTTCTCTACATCCAAAGCAGCACAGAAGCTGTAGCAGTGTAATGGCATCATCTGCTCTCCAACTCATGGATACCAATGCAGCGAAAGAGGATCCTGGACTGGGGAAGAAAAGGGTCCTGAGGCTATGAACTCAGGCACATACCTAAAGATGGAGGGAGATCCACACACTTCACAATGACTAGATCTGTGCTTGACACTGGGCCCGGAGAACCTTGATAAACTTGTGCTGCAATGCTAAAACACATGAATTAATGACAATTAGCATACACGCACATACTCCTATCAACCAGTAGGGTGATTCTTCTTCTTAGCATTCCTTATACTCCTTGTGCACTAAGCATACTAAATTCAGTCTTATAGGTCTACTTCCTGTGGTTTACAATCCTACGTACAATAAGGCCACCTGCAAAAAGAAAATTTTGTAGATTCCTCTAAGAAGGTCACTTTGTTTTACAGGCTGGTGCATTTATTCTTTGAATACAAGCATCCAAAATTCTTGAGATGTAAAATTCCTGTTCCTTTCCACCAGCTGCCTCAGTGCCCAGGCTTCCTTCTTGGATTGCTCAAAACTTGCTATCCACATCTCCTGCAGGGAATTCCGGCCAGGGTTTGAAGATGAGAATGAGAAAGCCTCGGGTTTGGGGCAGCTCAGATGGTTAACCTGAGCACTCCACCTCTGAGGTAGCCATCCCTGGCAATGGAGAGAAATAAAAGGAAGGGATTATTCAGGGACCCAGGCAGACATAAAAAAAAAAAAAAAGGCTCTATGCCATTAAATTATTAAAGCATGTCAGTGAATTTACCCTCCCACCATAGGCACTAGCCATGTCGCTGTGGGTGTCCGAGGGGAAGCTCTCCATGAGTTGCTTGGAGGAAGGGCAATCATGCTGACAAGAGCCAGAATCTTATATGAGATCTGGCTGCAAACAGGCAGCATCAGCTAAGCCAATCTGAAATTCTAAAGAAACAAGTTCTACTTTCATCATTATATCCCATTTTCATGTTAAACATGCACACATTTCATGAGATAATTTTAATGAGATAAAGACAAGCTATGAATCTGACAAGGAAAGCAGACTGGTCTTCATAGTCTGCTTGACTGGAGAGTCACAAAAGCATGCGTAAGGAATCTCTGTATCTCATCCTTTTTATACCTTTACATGGTTTTATTCCCAATTCAAGAAGAGGACAACTGTCTAGATTTGCACTGGATTCATCTAGGACAGCTTGGGTAAATGTAATGTAAATGCTTAATGGGTTGCACTCCCCATCACTTCAGTTCACCCTAACAATTTCTAATGTTTTCTTCCCCGGCTGACTACTTAGTGTACTGCTCATATTGTCACCTGTAAAAATAGGGCCTAATAGGTATAGGACAACTCTAGGGTACTATAGCCATTAGTCAGTTCCATTATTGGGCACAAAAAGGTTGTGTGTTTTTTTTGTTTGTTTGTTCATTTGTTTGTTTGTTTTTCCATCTATGCTGATAATTGAGCCTGTGAAGAGCTTTTTAAAAAAATGGTTCTTGGTACCTAAACCTAGAAACCTGAAAGGAATATGGTAATTAAAATGAGTATTCACTAACTCAGAGGTGCGTGTGGTGTGAGTTTCTAACTTCATTCTGTAAAAACTGTTACAAGTAATGCTGTTTATACCAGCCCAATCCACCACAATTATCAGCCTCAGGAGACTGAACAGATCATTGTGCCTCTGAAATGGGCTCCTGGTACCACAGCCGACAACCCTACTAGTCTGGTGGGCCCTGAGTGCTGGGCTTCCAGATAGCACAGCCATTTCCAGCTGGTCTCTATCAGCGTAACTTCCAAAAGATTTAGACCTGGAGAAACAGGTCCAGTTCCTCTCACTAATGCACAACCTGTCTTAAACATCAATATTTCAATGTTTAGTCACTAAGTATGGCCAGAGAAAATGGCACTTTTTCGCTAAAGGCTTGCATGCATCCACATATACACAGACCCAGAAAATCATAGAGTATTTAAATCAGGAGGGACCTTCAGGAATCATCTAGTCCAGTCCCCTGCTCCAAGCAGGTCTGATCAGATCTAATCAAGTGAATCTTAAAAGCCTCTTAAGGGCAGAGATCTCACAGCCTCTCTGGGCAACATGTTCCAGTGTTTGGTAGCCTTCAGGGTGGTCTTCTAAAGCAAGTCAGGAAGTCAGGCTCCTCACTGTAGCCAAATAAAAACCTCCTCCCTGAACAATTCAAGCTTTTTGTTGAGATGACCACCAGCTCACCAGTCACTGTGCATGAGTGCCAGTACTGTAGCAGTACAAAGAACACATGCCCTGGCCATGTACTCACACCTTCTGCCAACACCTTTTGGCATGAGGATGCACAACCCAATTACATGGCGATACCAGTGATTGTAGGCTGGCCAGAAATATGATAATCAAAATTCCTCTGGCAAATCTGAACCTATGGCCATTTTAAAGCCCCCGCGAGACAGGAAGTCACAAGTACCTTTTCTTCCCTCCTGATGTTTTCCCACACTCTGTTACACACCATGCACTCAAATGTGTCAATGTAATTGTCCTGGGTGATATCTTGCACTCCCCATTTGCGCTCCTTCATCGCTGTAAGCAGCCTTGGATTGGAAATGTCGCCTTTCAGTTTCCATTCCAGGAAGGCCTCATATTCTTGATCATTTTTGTCTAGTGTTTTGATATAGTGGGCCAGCTCCCTAGGGTGTGAAAAACTAGACACCAAGATTGCGCTCTTGTTGCTGGGAAGCCAGTCTACAATGCTGGGAGACCCAAAGTACACTGGTACCACTCCCAGCTTCAGTGGCCGCCAGAGCTTTTCAGTGATGTAATCTTCACAGATAGCATTTTCAAACGCAAGAATGAACTTGTATTGTGCCAGTATTTTAAAGAAGTTCCCGTCATCCATGGCAGCTGGATTTCTGAGATGCTGGGGAAGGTCTCTGTTGTGCAGACATTCCCCATAAGAGTCGACTTCGATGTGGCACATCAGCTCACGCACGTAGCTGTCCCGGTCAGAAGGAGGGTTGCAGTCAGACTGCACGTACACGAGTGGTGCAAGCTGCTTCCTCAGGCTGTTCTTCATTTGCAGTGGGATCATGTGCCTCAAGGACTTGAGGACCTCCACACCCTCAAGGTACTGAGTGGTCAGCGGTAGGTGAGAATGACGGCTGAAGGTCGCGGTGTGGTTGAATAAGGTGATAGCTGGTTCGTGGAAGAGTTTGTAGTTGTTTTTTGGTGACTCTTCATGGAAAAGGGCCCAGTCATGATGGTCTTTTCGAGGGAGTGGTAGGCTGTCTATACTGAAGTCAGTGCCTAGACAAAAGCAAATAGTGTTTAGTCTGGCCTTCCCCTGTCATGTCACCCAAGTGCAATATACAGAAATTCGATTTTAATTTAATATCAGCCCTACAGCAGTGCATTTATGACATTATAAGGCTGCGCAACAAAGAGAGTAATTCATGCAAAGACAAAGGAATGTGATGACAGATAGAAGCAAATTTGGCAGCAGAAGAATCTAGAGACGGGGGATCAGTAGTTAACATTAAAAATGGTTTACATTCAGGTCATGTTAGTTTAAAGGCCTCTCATTTCAAAGCCTCCCTATTTTGTATTTTACTGCACTGAAGGGAGACTAATAAGATGCTTAATAATCCCCTGGCTATGTAAATAAGGGAACAGATGGCATTTCCTCTGTCTATAATGAGAGGGAAATGGTCACTGCAGGGATGAATTTGATTCTAGTACCAAAACAACAAAAAAAGCTGCTAAAATATTGGATGCAGTTAAGGAGAAAAATCGTAAGAATGACTTGAAGTCTTGGAAAGACATTTTATATAGAAACTTTGGAAGCCAATCTATTTAGTTTATCAAAGTGAAAATTTAGAGATGATGTATCACAGCTGCCTACCAGATACAAACAGCCTGTGGCAAAAGATGGCTCCTCAATCTAGTGGCAAAAGTAGAGAAAGAACCATGTCTAAATGCTGAAAGCAGACCACTGCAGCTGCTTGCACTTTTCTGGAAGGAGAGTGAGCCCCCCACACAATTTAGGAAAACCGTGGAGAAAACTAGAAACCTTATATCAAAGGCTGGTCTGTGCAAACCTGAATTCAAAATACCAAGTCATGAATCAGAACCTTTCTCCCCCTTCAGTAGTGCTGTACTATAATCAGATGTCTAGCCTTTTTTCAGATTAAATGTAAAGCTGACGAATCTCTGCCAAGACACTTCCTCATTCTCTTAGAACTATATTTGGTTTTGACTTGAGTACCAGCACTGAACATATGAAACTTTTAACCTGTTCTGTCAAGCATGTGAGGTTCGTAAACAAACAAAAACAAATAAATAAAAGGAACAACTGGTTTTGAAAACAACACAAACCCCTTTTCTTTGGACAAGTTATTCTACCATCTCCACCTTACTCAAGACCTTTCATTCTATGTTCTACCCTTGATCTCAAACCACAGAGGGGAGGGACGGGGGAAGGGGAAAAGAGAAAGTTAGTAAAAGTAACAAAGAGCTTTCACCTAAAAACTAATATATAAAATTAAAAAAAAAAAAGCCCAATGATCTCTGTAGCTGCATAAGCCTGCCAAGATGACTCCAAGGGTGACCTTGTAAAACCAATAGAAGATTTCACTACAGCAGAGAAGATGGATGATATCTGCCAGTTGTATAAAAACCTCCTATAAAGAATGATCCTTCAAAGAGCATCAGGTATATTGTTTGTTTGTTTGCTTGTTAGTTTTTTAAGACCACTAAGAATCTGACATTCTGTTTTCCTCTGAAGTGTAGTCCCAAGCCCCAAACACTAAGAGGATGAGGTGCTGTGCCACTCACTGAAAACAAACAAACAAACAAAAAAAAAGCTGTTTGCTTTCTTTGTTTTTGTTGTGTGGTAGCGATGAAATAAGGTGAAGAAAAATGAGAATGAATCAAATTCTTACAGAGTAGCTTATGCAGTCTATCTGGTTTTGAAAACACCTTGTTTTAAGAGATGTCCAGAAGAGAAGCTGCAGTGTACATAGACAATAACGAAAGGCTGTGGATTGAAACCATAGCTGTTCAGCTTTGCCTCTTGCAAGAGTTACCTCAAAGAGGTAGCACAGCAGGGGAGAGGGAAGGTAAACACAGAAAAGAATGACACAAGAAAAGGGGTGAGAGAGGGATTGAAGCATAATGTGTAAAACTTATTAAACAAAGAGAGAATTAGGCACAGAGAAAATTAAAGAAAACAGCACAATAGATAAAAGCACACCAAATTGGCTGATTCTAATATAACACTTAATCAATCTCTATCCAGAAAGTAGACAAAAAGATTTTGAGCATTGAAGGGAAAATACCACCAGCATGTTGCCCACCCTGTGAGCTGAAGGAAATTAATGAGCTTATAAAGGGATAAGGAAGGCACAGCAAGACTGCAATTACAAGCAATTTCAACTTGCAAACTACTAATTAGAAAATCTCAGATGTGTGGCAAAGTGCAGGAACAAATGACAGATGCTCTTGGGAGAAGTTCTGTATCTTAGGAGACATCTTTCATTTGGGATTCATACTCTAAGGACTCAACTCTCTGGTGCAGAAAAGCTGAGCATCTCCCTCTACATCAGATCCAGCTCTTGCTGATGCAGTTTTTCTCAGAAGCAACAGCATCGGCAGCTCGTACTACAAGCAAAACTCTGTGGAGTATGTGATGTTGAAAAGGTAGATTTTGGAGACTAATTTGGAGACTACTCCCAAGGTAGAGACAAAATTGAGCAAGTGGGTGCCATGGTTCACTTCCAGAGGGGAGATGAACTACGTGAACTCCTAACTATGTCCTTCGTCTCTGCAGACTTTAGCATTGTGAGATCATTTATTGTGGTTTAAAAACAAGTAACATTTTTGCATATGTTGACACTTGCCTTTATATGCAGTGCAAAGACAGCATCACTAGAAAAAGAAAAACTACTGGGAAGGTCTTTTGCCCAGTATAAATAACCTTTTGAAAATAAGTAATCATGTCCACAAACCTGCTAAAAATGAACAGTAGTAGTTCTTTTAATGCTGAAGCAGGCAAAGAGAATTGTTGCCAGAGACCAAAAGCACCAGACTTCACAACTTTCACGTGGTGCAAACCTAGCTTTCCTTGTGTTTAATTAGGTCAAGTTCTCATTCCCTCGCTGTTATTCCTTTGCCTTCATGCTTGACCACTATATTAGCAACAGACAATGCTGACCTACTTGGCACTCTGAAACGATTACTGATGAGAAGTTTTTAGTTTACTGTTAACAACCACATTAAAAGCCCTTATTTCCAGTTCACCTGTGTCTTGAACAAGTGAATGAAAATTCAGGACTCTGTTTTGTTTTGTTTTGTTTTCAGACAAAGGGGCTGAACCTACCAACCACAGAAATTTATTGTCTTTATTTTTCCAACTGAAGTTCTCTTTTCATCTTCAAAGCTATGGTGTGGGGGGAAGAAATTAACAAAATAAAGATGCCTCTTTTGTGTTTTGTTTTTACAGCACAAGTAGTGAGAAGTTTCTTAGGCAGCAGAGCCAGAGCAGCTCAGCATGTTGCACTAGCTGCTGTTCCTTGCGCAGAATCAATGCACTTCTTTCAGTGCTTTCCATTTACAGGCTGCTAGCAATCTCTTGGCACATGCAGCAGGGCAGTTGCACAGTTACCAGTGAGGGCATTATCTTAAGACAAAAGTCTTGCACAAGTGTGACAAAGGCCTTGCAGAACCTCTGCTGGGGGTGATAAGCCAAAAGACTGGGAAAAAAAAATATGTCCTGATCTCAGACTGTCTTTTCATGACTTGGCAGCTACAGGAAATTATCTTTTCTCCCATAAACAGGGAGTACATGTGACAGGAAAGCAGCATGAGGCAAGACAACAGTCATCCCACAGATGTGCATGGTCACTTCTCAGAGTCCTTTTGCAGAGGTCTCTGGGCCTGTGATGATAGATTCAGCATCAGGCAAAGTTTAACAAAGTGAGCTGTGTAAGCTTCCTGCTCCTGATTTCCACCTAGAATATTTAATCTCTAAAGGAAAAGAGCTGGACAGGAGGGAAAGTTTCTCCTTTAGAAAGAAACAGCTCCTTACCATAGAACAGAAACGCTCTTGTCATCTGATTGTGCTGGTAGGTCTTGTTGATAGTAAAGAAGCAAACATCCTCTCCACATTGACCCAGTCTCCCTGTATCTCCAGTCAGGGGAGACCACCAGAGCAGGATGGGGTAATGGTTTGCATCAGACTCTGTCCTGAAGTTGCTGTCAAGTTCGTTCTTAAACTGGAGATCACGTCTCTCCTCAGGCTTCAGTGGACCACTGTGTAAACTGGAGACTACTGCCGCCTTATTCTCTGAATCGCTCAGTTCAGTGATAACCTGCAGGGGAAAAAGCATACATATCACAGCACATCACTGCCATTAGCCAGGAATTTGCATGGTAAATTAGAGTTCAGACATCAAGCACTATGTAAGCCTCCATGAAGTTTCTGTCAATCAAGGAAGTGGATGCACTTCACTGATTGCAGCCATTGTCCAGGTGATTTATGTCAGAATAGGGAGTACTTCAATATGAATTGGTAAGGTGGAGGCAAAAAGAAATTTCTGTACTGAGATATGGCCACGTCAGACAAAATTTAAGATGACAAATTCTGCTTTCTCTCTGGAAAAAGCATAAAACAGAGGACAGCCCTCCAGTAGCAAGGTTTATTCTGGAAATGTGCTGTTAAAAAAAAAAAAAAGTCATAATGTCTTCATGTCTCTGTGTGGTCATCTGTGCCCACCCTGATTAATTTTTAAACCAATGACTGGATATATCAGTCAGACAGGTCTTAAAGAAAACCTAAATACAACTTGTTGGCCAGGCACAAGAGAAAAATCCCACCTGTATGCAGAGATGTAAAAGACCTGACTGTGCAAACCATCGTGTACAGATCAGAAACCCTGAGAGGAACCTTACAAGATTTCCAACCATAAGAGAACCTCTAACAGGGCCTGCCATCAGTCATGAGACAGAAATCCTCAGAAAGTCAGGCTTCACTAGTTCAGGTGCCCGTGAAACCACCACCCTTTTCTACAGGTTGCACCTTTCATAAAAGTGTCCTGGGGCAGAGAAGTCTGCTGAGGGAGAGTTGGTGAAGAGACAGAAATGGTGCTGGTAGGTGGTGCTGTGGGATACACAGGAACCACCCTTAGCTTCTGTGGGGTGAAGAGCTTCCTGCCGCCACGCAAACGGCTTTTTCTGTGTGCATCTCCACAGGCAGAGCCTAGTGCCACCCTAAGAACAGCTGCAAGAGCGATGGGGGAACTCATACCCACCAGACAGCTTTGGCTCACAGCATTTCCACTTTTTGGATGGCTCTGAAGGAGGATATTGGAAAGCAGGAGAGCGTTGTTTACATTAAGTTGGTTGAAAACATTTATCTTCCCTGATAGCATTACCGCACACATTCATTTCACTGTTTGCTATGTCATTCACTCTTACTGTCTAGTAAAATAAACTGATTGTAAGTAAACTAAATAGGCTCTGTGCAACACAGGACACTGGGACAGCACACACAGGAGGCTGTGCAAAGTGCAGCTGCACAGAAAAATACAGAAAACACTCCCACATTGGCAAGTGGACAAGATACTAGCTGCAGACAAGGATTATTTGTCTAGCAGTGTGGTAAGATGCAAATGCAGCAATATAACTCTGATAAGTCTATAGCTACTTCGTGTCCAGGTTTCTCCAGGAACATACTCTTTTTCTGCTTCCAAAATTTGCCCTAGCAGAATTCAAGGAATCTGTGTACTTGTTCAGAATTTCTAGCAGCTTTCTCTGAACTCCTGGGACTTGATACATCCCATCTATACCCGCAGCTCACATGCTGCAGCAGTCCCAGCAGCCGGGCACCGAGTGTCACTGTGCAGTGAACTTGTCAGATGAAAATCCCAAATCTGAATCTGCTTAGCTGTGGAAGTGCAGTGCAGTCACAAAACCTGCCAGTAAAGCTCCTGAAGATTTGCTAGCATTGCTCCCACACTAGGGCAGCCATATCAAACTTTGGATGCCCAGCTTAGGGGCACAGAACCAAAAGTGATAACACCTGCCCCCACAAAGTCATTCCCATTCAGAGCAAGCAGCTGGCCTGGGAGAGCTTCAGAAATCTATATGCTGGGTCCACTGGCAGTTACCTGAGGTACCAGTCTGAACAACTGCCTCAGTTCAGAGCACAACTGGTATGGAGACATCCCTGGGGCAGATCATGCACTTCTCATGTCTGAAGTTTCTGTAAGTCCCACAGCTGCCAGCCAAGGCTGATTCAATCTATGTAAAAGTTGTTTTCTTCTGGGGTGGTCTGGTACACGACCTGTGAGGAGCTCCTCCAGCAGCTGAGGAGCTGTGCAAGAAAGTCATCCTCTGTGTAATGTCACTTATGGAGCTGCTACCACTACCCTAACAGAGTTGACAGACTTTCTTCAAATATTCCTCTCACAGCAATCTTGTACCAAAAACATCTTTTGCCTTTTATGATCTCTCTCAATTTGCCAAATTTTGTGTCACATGCTGAGTACAACAACACGCATACCCCCTGCCCTTTTTCCCCAGTACCTGGAATGTCACCACGAGGAAAAAGGCGGCTGCAAAGCAGAAACAAGATGCCCACAGTTTCTTCCTCCTCGTCCTGATCATGCCGCACTGTTAGGCCCGCAGGGCACCCACAGACAGATAGAGCTAGGCATCAGGCAGGCCAGCTTGTTGAAAGTCTTCAGCCCTTGCCACAGTGCTGTCCCACTCCATCCTTACTCTTCTTCACGGTGACTGCTGCCAAAAAAAAAAAAAAAAAAAAAAAAAGGGTAAAACATCAACAAAGAGTGCTCCTTGAGATTGGTGATTAACTTGATGTCTACCTGTAGCTTTCTGCAGGTGCCAGAACAATGTTTTGAGACAGGCTAACCCTTAGCTAAACCAGAAAGCGGTCTACACAAAATAGCACTCACACACACACTGCCTTCTCCCTCTGCTCAGCCTGGACTTGGGCTTCCCTTCTCTGGCAATCTATATCCATGCTGGTCTCCCTCTCAAACAACCTCGAATGACTCTTCCCCTTCCCTGACACGCTTTTTTTTAGTTTTCCCAGACCATTTTGCTGCATGATGGATGTTACTGTGTGAAAATCCCAGCACCTGACAACCAGAATAGGCACAAATTCCAGTTTCAGATTAAAAAAAAAAAAAGGAGGAAAAATAAGATAAATAAGATGAGAGAAAAACAGAACTGAAGAAAGAGGAAAAACATACCTTTATTTTTTTTTTTAACAAATTGCTATTTTAAAACTAATCTCTTTCAGAGATGTGCTGCTTAGAATTTAGTGTGGTTTTCTACAAAAAGGCATACGTGATTGCTTTCCCTCCACGTGTGTGTGCCTATCAGCTACCTCCCGCATCCCAGTCATGGATGGGTCCCACAGTTACTGCCTGCCCCCTCCCTCTGTGGAGGTAGCAGATAGAGTCCAAAGGCTGGTCCTGCTTCCACTGCAACATGAGTAAATCCCTTTGCATCAGCCACCTGAGGAGCCTCTTCAGCAAAGCCTCACATGAAACAGCGCTGCTGAGTTCTGCTCTGCGTGGGACAGCTGCTTCTGAAGGCTTTGTCTGGGTACTACAGCCTGATGCTGACAGCTCGGTGCCTTTGAAACCAAGTTTCAAAGTCTTCTATCCACTGTACCTTCCTGCATTACAGCCAAAGTAGGGCATCAGGAGGGGAAGGGGTTGAACTCTGATTGCAAGCGTATTATTGAAAATACTCTGCCACTCAGGGGGGGCAGAACAGTGCATTTAACAGCGTACATCTCACCCTATGCATGGAAAAGGAAGGCTCTGATAGCACACTGAATGCCCCCCTCACACCCTGCCTGGGTAAAAATGCAGGAATCCTCCTGGGTTTCGGGGTTTCGGTATTCTTCCAGAGGGGGAACTGCACAGCACGGGTGTGCCCGGGGTCAGGCAGGGGGGTCACAGCTTCTCTCTTTCACCTGCAGTGCCCAAACCCGGTGCAGGGGGCTGGTGGTGGCCCACGCCAGGCTCCGTCCTGCCCCAGCCTGGCCAGCAGAGCAGACCTCGCAGCGCCTTCCCACCTCGCTCCTGCCGAGCAGAGGGACCTAAGTAAGGACCTGGGGAGAGAGCAGGACAGCTCACCACATCCCGCTGTGCCGTGCAGCGGAGCAGCCCCCCGCACACCCTCCCAAACTTCCCACCGGCTGCCCCCGCCGCCTCTGCTCCCAGCCCTGCCTCGCTGCCTTCCCCCCCGCACCCAGCCGCTTTCCCTGCCCGGCTCTCGGCCCGTCCTGTACCCGTCCCGGGGGGCTGCAGCCCCGTGTCCCCCCCTATCCCCCCCCAGCTCCCTCGGGCTCCAGCATCCTCCGGCCCGGCGGGCTGCTTCCCTACTTACCCGCAAAAATCCATCCCGCCCGATGTGCCACCGGCCCCGTGCTCTTGGGTCTGTTTTGTTGTTGTTGTTGGATGATTATTTTGTGTGTGCTTGGTGTTTTTTTTTTTTGTTTGTTTGTTTGTTTTGCTATTTTTCACTTTCAGTTCGAGCATCCACTTGGGGAGGGGAGCGGGAGGCGGGCGCTGCGCGGGGCCCCGCGGAGGGGCGGCGCGGATCCGCGCCTTCCCCCTTCCTCCTTCCTTCCTCCTCTTCCTCCAAAGCTGCCCCGGCTCCCTGTGGCCACCCGGGGGGCTCGGGGAGGGCCTGGGGGGGTCGGCTCCCCCCGGGGTCCCGAGGGCTCTGCAGAGGAAACGCGGCGGGCCGATGGCACCGGGCGCGCTGCCGCTCCCGGCTGCTCCTCCCGCCGAAATAAAAATAAAATAAAATGATAAAAATAATTAAAAAGTCTGTTCCCGACACTGATTTCTCTAACTGTTAGCCTAGCTGTGCTTCTTGCTGTTTTTTTGGTTTTATTTTTTTTGCTTGTTTTGTTTTGTTTCGTCGTTACAACAGTGCCATTATTTTATCCGGTGCTCTCTTCAAGAGGGCTTAGCTCCACTGCGCCAAGCCAGAGGGTTGTCAGGAAAAAAATAAAAAAAAAAAAAATGCGTCATGGAAGTTGGGAAGCACTCAAGTGCCTGCTGGCCGGCCCCGTCTCACAGAGAGGGAACATATCCCTCGTCCCTCAGGCTCAGAGCTGAGGCAGGCACCCCGAGCACAAGAAGGGCTACGGCTGCGACGTGCTGCCAGCCTTGCAGGGCATCCCTGCCAGGCTGCTAGTAGTGATCCAGATCAGCTCGGAGTTTCCAGAAGTTGAGACCTTCTTTGTGCAGTTTCTGGCATTTGCTGTTTGTAGGGAAAGATATTTCCCTTAAAATGTTGGTTGTGCTGGCTCAGGGCAGAGATTACGTTTATCCGTTTGATATGTACACATAACCATACATGTCCATATTTATAACATGGATCTACACGGTAACACATTTGTTTTAATACCAAGGTGTCTGATACCTGCACGTATTTGTTCATAAGTATTTGTGAACAAGATGGATCTTTAAGGACACTTCCAACCCAAACCATTCTACTTACACACTACTCATACACAAGCAGGCCAAAACACCATTATTTGATGCTTCAAACATTAAGGGAAAACAAATGCAAAACAACTCTTCCTCCATCTCCTCTCCCACAAGAGTAAAAGTGCCCAGCCCAGGAACAGGGGCTGAGGAGGGGGGCACAGCCTGGGTGTGAAGGGCAGCAGAGGTGCAGGAGGAGCACCAGGGGAGCAGAGGGTGGAAGCATCCCAGAGGTGGCAGAGGGAAAGCCTGATGTGCCTCTGCTGACATGTCTGAGTGACATAGGTTATCCAAATGTTAAACATACAACTCATCTCCTTATTCCACTGTGGGTCAGGCCTGTAGACTTCCTGAAAGGCTCACAGAGCACCCAGCAGAAAACCCGCAACCCAAACAACAGTGCAAGTGATCTTTGCCATGCTGTCTTTGCCCCCTTTCCTCTCCCACCCTTTCCCTATAGCTGTGGCTGACTGCAGCCTGCTGCAGCAGGGCCCACCTCTTGCTGCTCTTACTGCTCCACAGAGCTCTGATCCCCCTGAGCTACTAGGCTCCTCTTAAGGAAAAAAAAAAAAAAAGTATACTGTGGTGCTAGGACATGACAGATTCATTTATCCCTCGCTCCTCATTCAGAGTTTCATCACACCTCTTTTGTTTCTGCCCCAAAATCCTAGCTGCTGGGGTAACATTTGTAAGTAGAAGCTTCAGGTGGGGCTTAAGTAGGCTTTGCCAAGCATGGCTACAGATATTAGAACTGCAGCACAGATCTGCTCCACTGACTCTGGGCCGGGAGGCATGTAGCAAGAAACTCCAACTATTATTTTGTAAAGCGGATCCATGCTAAGGCAGACTCTTGCTTTTGGAGGCCTGACTAATGGTTGCAGGGTGCCATGAGGCGGACAGGACTGAAGCTAGCATGCCACAAGCAGCCCATAAATCAAACTGAGCAGACGGAGATAGATAGAAGCCTGGTACACTTAATGGAAGGATTTGCTTTGATCCCATTAGGTTTTGGTTTTGTCCCTCGTTTTAAAATTTAGTTATACTCAAGGCTTTCAAGCTCCCCCAGTCTGCAGACTCCTAAATTGCTCTCACGAGGGCAGAATTTCTTTGTAATGCATTTTAGCCTCCTGGCAACAGGCTTGCTGTTCCCAGTTACCACCCACCCAGTCCTCAGACACTGTCCATAGACCCCAACAATTCACAGATTCAAACTGAAAATAGAGAAGCTAGTCCTGAGGGCGGTGGGATGGCTGTTAGACGCTGTCGACCCCATGCTATCAGCAAGATATTCTTGGACCAGCTCCATCCAGCGGCTGGTATCAGAAAAATCCAATTTCGTTTCTTGTCCTGATATGCCACTCTGAGGAAAGAAGCGCCTATTGCAGGACCTGGCCTGTTACCGACATTAACGAGCTGGGCCAGCACAAGCCAAGGCATGGGTGTTGGGGCAGGTCATCATGGAGGAAGCACGACAAAAAAAAAAAAAAAAAACAAAAAAAAAAAACAAATTGTTGCTCCAACAAGCAGAGCTAATAAACCAGACTTCCTAAAGATCTGTATCTTCAGTGTTTTCTGCCCATGGAGAGTCACTGCTATCTGATGAAATCACCAGGCAGCCTGTCCCTCCACAGGTCAGCATGTCTTTCCCTTCTGCACGCTAACAAGGAAATCTGCTGCCTTTGATGTTTCTCTCTTTCATTCAGACATATATTCGCAAGTTTTTAGAGGAGAAACATAGGTCAAGCTGAATGGTCTTATTAGACCACAAAGACTAACAAATCTCCAATTCTCATTCATAGCAGCAGTTTTCAATGGCACATTTAGGCTGAACGCTGCACTTCAAGTTTTAAACTTTAGCAAACGTGGGAAAAGGGCAATTTACTTACAGTACCGTGTAAAAAAACAGTAATATGATGAATGAGTTCCCGCTCTCCTCAGTAAGCAAATAAAACTTTTGTGCCTAAGGCTGTCTTTTAAAAAGGACTAGCAATGATAGAGCCTGGTTATCCTGTAAGTCTCATAACTCTTTAATTAGTCTGATTACATAACAGGCATACTACTTTGTAGTTTTTCTGCCCTTTGTTTACACTGGCAATCTGGGATTTTCTTCATTTCAACCATTTTTATCATCTTGTGATCTTCCACCACGAAATAGGTCACCCAGCAACTTTGCTGCAGTGTGATCACTCTTGTAGCATTTTCTCTGATTAGTTTATATTTTCAATATTCCTTATTTCTTTTTAGAAAAAGTAGTCTTGGCTCTTTTTTTTTTTTTTTTTTTTTTTTTTTAATAATAATGTTCTGCATTGTATAGCTTTTCTTTCACCTAGGTACTGCTGGATATCTTCTCTGTTTCTGTGTATGTCTTTCTCCATTCCTGTTCTGTTTGATTCATATCTCTGTAATCTGAAGCAACCTTTCAATAGATTGCTGTGTTTTGTTTTGTTTTGTTTTTATTTTTTTCCCTCCACTGTGTTATTATTGCATTCTACGTTACTGTAGTACTCAGATGCACCAAAAAAAATCTGCACTCCATTCACTGAATTAACAGACCAGCAGAAACTGATCATGTCCCCCTTCATGTATCATTAAAATAGATAAGGCAGGAAAAAGGCAGAGAGGAAAGGAAAGCAAAGCAAAGAGGTCAAGTGACTTCCTAAAGGAGACAAAGCTACTCAGCGCCACAAAAAGAACCTGAGGGCCCAATCCTTCATTGTCCTGGATCTTGTGTTTTGATTTCCAGCTCTGTCTTTATATTCCTTTCTTGTTGCTCTGACACCATTATTCTTTCTGTAAAATTTTTGTAAAAGAAGGGACACACCTACAGCTCTTTTTAACTTGGGCACCTCAGACTTGGAGACTATAACCCTTTTTGCCACAAGTTGAATCATTTCCTACCATCCTCTTAGCACTGCTGAGGTGCAGATATGCACAGCCCTTGCTACTCTTGTGCTCAGCTGGTTTTTAACCCTCCCCTCTTTGAAGCATCTGAGCATGGCACGGATTGTAAACCTGTAATACCAGGTCTGCTGCTTTTCCTAAGGACTATCTCCCCCCAGCTGCTTTGTCCCACTGACCAACTTCACTTCAGAGGATCTCCTGACTTCCACAGTTTCATTCACTGGTTATAACTGGCTGTTTCAAGGCCTCCTTCCAACACCACCTTTTACACAGACCAGATTTCTCAACCTTGAACTGTCACAAAGCCAACTCAAAAATGATTCCCTTTTGTGAGTTTCCATGGTGGGGGGAGCATTGCTGCTAGAGGTGCATCTAAATGCCTTAGCATCAGTGATGCTATGAGAGAGGGTGTTAGGAGAATCTTATCAAGTAGAGATAGAGTGCTGACGGCATTAAACTAGGATCCTACTTAGTGTCTTTGCTAACTACAGTGCAAAAAGCCTTGGGCCCCTTTACCAAGGTCAGTCTCCTAATAAGAGTGTGAGTCTGTCTTATGAAACTGGTAGAAACTGGTCCTGCGGATGGACAAGAGCCAAGGAGCAACTGAGTCTGCACAAAGACAAGATGTCAACTAGCGGTGACAAGGAGGAGTCATCAATCTTCATCCCCATGGCCCCCGACGACCACCACCAGAACACACTGCACAAGCGCAGATGGGAGGAGTTTATGGAGATGATTCCTTGGAACTAATTTTAATACGAAGCAGGGACAGGTTATGAACATGTATAGGCATATTGTGAAACTTCATGCATATGTAACTCTTTACTGCATATAACAAAGGCAAGTTGACACGTCAGGTGTGCACAGCTTTGGTGGGATTAACCCCCTGTGCCGCCAAGCACTGAATAAACACACCTACTGTACAATCTTACTGATTGTGGAGTCTGTTTTCTGCAAGTCAGCTAGGGCCCTGCTACCTGCAGCTCTGTAACTTTTCACACCAGCTGCTGTAGCTGTGTTTTCCAGAGCCCCTGTGGCAGTTTTCCCGTGTGCTCCTGTGGGGTTATTCTGGACAAGTTGGTCTCACGCCTTGCACCTGCAAACCCCAATCATAAAATCGCAGAATCACGGAATTGTTAGGGTTGGAAGAGACCTCCAAGATCACCTGGTCCAACCACCCCCCTGCCACCCATATCACCCACTGAACCCTGTCCCTAAGCACCACGTCCAGCCAGTCCTTGGACACCCCCAAGGACGGTGACTCCACCACCTCCCTGGGCAACCTGTCCCAGTGCCTGACTGCTCTGTCTGAGCAGAAATGGCTCCTCATTGCCAACCTGAACCTCCCCTGGCGCAACTTGGGGCCATTCCCTCTGGTCCTATCACTGGTTATGCGTGAGGGCAGGACCCCGTAAGAACAAGAACCACTACTGACGTGCAAAGTGCCTCCTTTTCCTTCACTTCTTGTTTTTCCACATTTTTATTTATACCAGCCACAACACCGCACGCTGAGCAGCACAGCAGCCAACAGCACAGCCGCTCCCTGACGCCCCCCCCACCCCCCGCCATGCCCCTGAGGCGATGCGCGGGGCGGCACGGCGCCATGCCCCCCCACACACACACCACCACAGCCACACAGCGCATGCGCGCCCTCCCCCCGCGGCGCCAGGAGGCGCTGTGCCGTCGGCGGCGCCATGGCGGCCGAGGGGACGGCGGCGGCCGCGCTGCAGGCCGAGGGGGAGCCCGGCGCTGAGGGCTTCGGCGGCTTCGGGCAGCTGCTGGAGGACGAGGAGGGCGAGGACAGCGGCTACGTGCTCTATAGGTGCTGTAGGGACGGGATGAGGTGGGGTGGGGTGGGATAGGACGGGGTGAGGTGCCCCCTGTCCGCCCCGTGACGGGCGCCTCACCTGTGGGGGGATGAGGAGGATGAGGAGGATGAGGAGGATGGGGGGGGGGGGGGAGGAAGGCGAGGCCCGGGGGGAGGTGGGTGCAATTATCACTGACCCCCCAGGTAAGTGAATTAAGCGCAGACCCCCAGGAGCGCCCAGCCCAGCCCCTGAGGTGACGCTGAGAGCCCTGCACTAAGCCGAGCTCCTCCTCGAAATGCGTTTGCAGGGACAGGAAGGAGTGGGCAGACATCGAGCCGGTCCCGCAGGACGACGGGCCGAACCCCGTGGTCCAGATCATCTACAGCGAGAAGTGTGAGTTGTGAATCTATACACGTATATCCGGGGGAAATACAACGCGATTCAGTTTTTGGCTGTCCTTACCCACTGCTAAAGCAACGCTAGCGCCGGATAACACATCACATTTCCGTGTTTTGGGTGATATATTTGCCAGAGCGCCTGTCCCGGTAAAAAGAAAGTGATTTGTATCTCGTGTCTTACGGCAGCTGCACGTGGTCTTTGCACCGGGCATCTCTGAAGCTGAGTATTCACGTCAAGTGTTGATAGGCAAGGTTTTACTTTAAAATCATGCAGCCCGAGGACTGTAGCAGACAGTACAGTTCACCCAGTAAGGCATTGCTAGCACACATGTGGAAGAGACCTGTATGAAATTACTGCATCTGGGGGGATAGTGTGATTAAGCAGCATAAAGCAGATTGTTTGGGATATGTTTCAGATAGTGTGTTTTGAGTACACCAGTGTCGTTAGAGGCTTCAATGAACAGGCATATTGTATCAGTATGTAGCTATCATTTTAAGGAGTTGTACTTAAAGTTACTTCCTACTTCACATACTTCATGGGGGTCATTAACGTTACCCCTTAGTCAGGCCGTTTTCTCACAGCGCTGGGTAAGATGCTGTTCTCTGTCTAGTTCGAGATGTCTATGATTACTTCCGGGCTGTTCTGCAGCGGGATGAGAGAAGTGAAAGAGCTTTCAAGCTAACAGCAGATGCCATTGAGTTAAATGCTGCAAACTACACAGTGTGGTAAGTGATCGCTAAGATTATTACCCAAAATTATTTCTGTTGTCAGTTGATTGCCAACCTCTTACATCTCTGACAATATCGTTGGTATAATTGGGGCACAGCTAGCTGAGTTTATGCGGGGGAATACTGTAGACTCCCATTGAGCTTCTAAAGAAAGCCCATGTTCACTATTTTCCATGTCTAGTATTGATTCACTGCTTTTCATTCATTGTGTTTTGAGGATGTTATCAAGCAAAGTCAGGATTAGCTATAACAAGAATTTCAGCAGGTAAATGATTTAATTTTAAACAACGATGTAACCTTGGCAAAAGGGTGCATATTCCTTCGAGTAACTTCAAGAAGAGGCATCAAAGTATGGTAGTTACTGCTTCAGTCCTAGATAGCTGTATAATACTAAATAGTGCATTTTAAAAAATCTCTCTGGTTAATACCTATATGATAAATAAGCAGTGAATTTCTAATACTCAGAGCAGGGCTCTTTAACTCACAAATGCCAGCAAATACCCCTGTTATGCCCACTATCTTGCATAGAATCAGAAAGCCTACACTATTTCAAGCACAAAGGCATGGATTCTGCGATGATGAAATTAGTGTGGGTAGACAGAGGTTGACGTGAAACCTAGGATTTCTGTGATTTTAGATAACATTGTTATAACCAGTCATAATCAAGCTGTCCAGCTTTTCAGTAATTGAATGACTTTTAATAGGACTGGATATGTGACTTAGCTCTTTGCACTTCTTTTAGACTCAGTATCTATATGAAGAACTGCAAAGAAAGGCTCTTTTACGAGTTCTAGGAAATTCTAGGAATTCTGGGAAAGTCTGCTGAAGTGTCTGAATGCTTGATTTTTGTACAGGCACTTCCGGAGGGTCCTCCTGCAGTCCTTAGGAAAGGATCTTTATGAGGAGCTTAAGTACATTACAGCTATTATTGAAGACCAACCAAAGAACTATCAAGTCTGGTAAACCACATTTTCTTTTCAGTTCTTAAAGTTTCTACAGATCTTTTGTTGTTGTTGTTGTTTTAATTCTCTAGAATAAGTTGTGCTAATTGATACTAAAGGTTCGTAAGTTGTTTCCTGTGTGTAATACAGTGCCAGTAGCAGAGGAGTAAGATGGAGTTGCAACACTGTCACAGTCAAAGTCCTCTTTAACACTTTGTTCTGAACTCAGTTGTGATATGATAAAAATGTCTTGTTTTCTTTTAACTTAAAATTTTAAGCTGACAAAATAAGTGACAGAAAAATAATGACTGGTGAAAAGGAAAAAAAGAAACACATGAGAAATACAATTGAGGTTTTTTTTTCTTTTAGTGGCTCCTAGAGTTCACTTAGCTATCATAGGGTTTTTTCAAGTGAGGGGAAATAAAGAAAACAGCAGTGTTACAGGAGCACAGAATGGTTGAGGTTGGAAGGGTTCTCTGGGGGTAATCTGGTCCAAACTTACAGCACATTGCTTAGGGCCACGTCCAAAGAGGGAGACTTCATAACCTCCCTGGGCCTGCGTCAGTCACCCACACAGCACAGAAGTGCGTCCTGATTTTCGGATGAAACCTCTTGTGCTCCAGTTTGTGCCCATTGCCTCGTTCTGGTGCTGCGTACCACTGAAAGCAGACTGGCTCCATCCTCTTTCTGCCCTCCCTTCAGGTATTGCCAAGACCCCCCTGAGCTTCCCCTTCTCTAGACTGAAGAGCCCCATCTCTCAGTCTTTCGTCATAGGAGAGGAGAGGTGCTACAGTGCCTCGATCATCCTGGTGGCCCTCCACCGGCCTCTCTCTGGTATGTCCATGTCCCTCTTGTACAGGGGAGCCCACAGCTGGACACCACACTCCAAGTGTGGCCTCACCAGTGCTGAGGAGGAAGGCAGGATCACCTCCCACCACCTGCAGGCAATGCTTTGCCTAGTGCAGCCCAAGACACCATTAGCAATCTCTGCAGCTAGGACACATTGCTGGCTCCTCTTCAACTTGGTTTCCACTGGCACCCCCAGGGCCTTTCTGCAGAGCTGCTTCCCAGCTGTGCAGCCCCAGTGTGTCCTGGAGCCTGGGGGTGTTCCCCCCCAAGTACAGGACTTTTCACTTGCCCTTGCTGAACTTTGTGGAGTTCCTGGCATCCCACCTCTCCAGCCCGTCAAGGTCTGGAGGGCTGCAAAGCCCTCTGGTGAGTCAGCCACTGCCCTTGTTCTGCGTCATCTGCAACCTTGCTGTGGGTACACTTCCATCATCCAGATCATTCCTGGAGATGTTAAACAGGGCTGGACCCAGCAGTGACCCGCTGAGGTTTTCCACTCATCACTGGCCTTCAACCTTGTACCACCGCTCACTGACACCCTCTGGCTCCAGTCATTCAGGCAGTTTTCAGTCCACCCCACTGTTTGCTCATCCAGTCCATACTTCAGCAGCTTGTCTTTGACAATCTTACAAGCAGGATGGTACCTCTGTCCTCTGTAGGTTTTGTTTGTGTGTTTGAGGTTGGTCAGGAGTTCCTTGCTTATTTGTCCATGCAGGCCTCCTGGCGTTTTTGCCCTACTTCTCCTTTGTTGGGATGCATCATTCCTGAGGTTGGAGGAGGTGATCCTTCAATACTCACCAGGTTTCTTATGCCCCTCTTCCCTCCAGGGCCTTGTCCCTTGGCACTCTGCTAAGTAGATTCGTGAAAAGGCCAAAGTCTGCTCTCCTGAAGTCCATGTTCGCAATCTTGCTGCGCATTCTCCTTGCTGCCCTCGGGATCTTGAATTCCACCGTTTCCTGCTCACTGCAGCCAAGGCTGCATTTGACCTTTGCATTCCAAACAAGCCCTTCCTTGTTGATGAGAAAGAAGTCCATCGCAGCACCTCATCTCATAGGCTCCTCTACCACTTAGAGGTGGAAATTATCATCAAAGCATTCCAGGAACCTCCTCAACTGTTTATGTCCTGCTGTGGTTTCCTTCTGACAGCTACTGGGTTGGTCAAAGTGCCCCAGTGAGAACCAGGGCTTGTGAACATAAGGCTGCACCTATCCCTCTGTAGAGGGCCTCATCCTCTTGCTCTTTCTGGCCAGGTGGGTTGTAGCAGACCTCAACATCACCTAGCCCTGTCCTCCCTTTAATCCTAATCCATATACTCTATTGGTTCCTCTTCTGTCCCCAAAAAGAGTCCATGCACTCCCGCTGGTTGTTGACATAGAGAGTGACATCCCCTCCTAGTCTCCTTCCATTTCAACACTTAATTGTGGGAGCCATCTCATCATGTTGCTATTACTAGAAAAAATAAGTAGTATGAGAAAAATTAATTTTATTGAAGATACTGGCCATGAATGTTAAAGTGTGAACATGCTACTTCAGGTAATCACAACTTATCTAAAAGGAGGTGATTGGCCAATGTGTTTGTGTAGCTATAGTATTAATTGTTTAGACTTTGTGACAGCATAAGTTTGCATTGTATATTTCTCAGGGACAAGTGGAATGTTTTGGTGTATTTCTTTTACCTAGCCCTTCTTGATGTATTTAGTACAGGTGTTAAATGCTGCTTTAATGTAGACCACACATTCACACAAATTCTTGACTATCCTAAAAATAGTTTCCTATTCTTATCATCAGGCATCACAGACGAGTGCTGGTAGAGTGGCTGCAGGATCCATCCCAAGAGCTTGAGTTCATAGCTGACATTCTTAACCAGGATGCCAAAAATTACCATGCTTGGCAACACAGACAATGGGTTATTCAGGTATTGTATGCATTGAACTGCTTATTCTCTGAATAACCTGCTCACCTTGTGCAGTTTCACATCTTAAATGCACCCTGAATTGCATTCCGCACTTTGTTCCTTAAAGCTGAAGGAAAAAAACAATTGCATTTTAGTGGGTGGCAGAGTTCAGATATCAACCACCTTTTAGCAAGCAAGCTCAAAAATATCTGCTACCAGCTGCTTCCTTTTACTTGTGTGAATTCAATGATGAGCTAATACCATTGTGTGTAACTGAATAACATAGCAAGTTCTTTGTACACCCTTCCTTACTTTTCTTTGAATTTTGTGTTGATTTCTTTTGAAAAGTCCTTGTATCTAACATTCAGAAAGCTTAGTATGAAGTAGAATGTGTTTTTTAAAATAAAACCTTTTCATTGTGGTTTTCTCTCTTCCTTCCCTTTTTGTAGGAGTTCAAGTTATGGGAAAATGAACTGGAATATGTAGACCAGCTTCTGAGGGAGGATGTCAGAAACAACTCTGTTTGGAACCAAAGATACTTTGTAATTTTCAACACCACTGGCTATGATGATCCACCAATCCTAGACAGAGAAGTCCAGTTAGTAATACTGTTCATTCCCACATTAAGCATTCTCCATTATATGCAAGCAAATGAACACCTCTACAGGCCTCGACAGTTGTGGGCTTGGTTTTTTTTTTTTTTTGGTTTTAAAGTAGTATTTGGGCTCCCTCATAGATGGTAGATCAAGTGTTAGTGCACATATAGACGTGTTCAGTGCCACTGACTTACCAGCTGGCTGGCTGTCCTTAACCTTGACAAGCTACCCTGGCTTTAGGTACAAACTGGGCGACGAGAGGCTGGAGAGCAGCCCTGCAGAGAGGGTCTGGGGGTTGTGGCTGACAGCAGGCTGAATATGAGCCAGCAGTGTGCCCTGGCAGCCAGGAGGGCCAACCGTATCCTGGGGTGCATCAAGCACAGCATCGCTAGTCAGTCAAGAGAAGGGATTGTCCCGCTCTGCTCTGTGCTGGTGCGGCCTCACCTCAAGTACTGTGTGCAGTTCTGGGCACCACCGAACAAAAAGGATGTGAAACTATTGGAGAGTGTCCAGAGGAGGGCAATGAAGATGGTGAAGGGCCTAGAGGGGAAGACGTATGAGGAGCGGCTGAGGGCACTGGGCCTGTTCAGCCTGGAGAAGAGGAGGCTGAGGGGGAACCTCATCGCTGTCTACAACTTCCTCACAAGGGGGAGTGGAGAGGCAGGTGACCTATTCTCTGTAAACACCAGTGATGGGACCCACGGGAATGGTGTTAAGATGAGACAGGAGAAGTTTAGGCTGGACATCAGAAAGAGGTTCTGCACCCAGAGGGGTGCAGAACACCTGGCAGTACTGTGGAAAAGGCAGTAGGTAGAGGCTGTTTTGTGAAGACGAAACGTGGCTTTGCACCTGTATGGCCGGTGCCTATTCTTGCTTTGTTCTTAGTGGAGTTATCTAACTGCTGTTCTAACAGAACCTGCACCAGAAGGCTCTGATCTGAGTGCTCAGGCTGCCCCTTTCTATGGGGCTTGCTCAGAGGTAGCCTCTTAAAGGAAGTTGTGCAAATAGGTACAGAACCATACTATATCTAATGATATCAAAATAGTTCACAGTGGGCTTCTGTGACCCTAGCTCTTTTCTGACCCTTGTCATTTGAATTCAGACTTGATGAACATAGAGACACACGTTAGTCATTTAGCATACCAGGGGAGTATATGATGTTGTTTCTTAGCATTAACACTCATCATTTTGTTAACACTCATATTTTGTTAATGTATAAACTGCAACAAACGGAAACACTTAAGAATTTAAAACAATTACAGTAATATCTGCCTCTTTGAGGCCTCTGGAGAACAAGTCTTACGAGGAGCGGCTGAGGGAGCTGGGCTTGTTCAGCCTGGAGAAAAGGAGGCTCAGGGGCGACCTTATCGCTCTCTACAGGTACCTTAAAGGAGGCTGTAGCGAGGTGGGGGTTGGTCTGTTCTCCCGCGTGCCTGGTGACAGGACGAGGGGGAATGGGCCAGGGGAGTTTTAGGTTAGATGTTAGGAAGAACTTCTTTACCGAAAGGGTTGTGAGGCATTGGAACGGGCTGCCCAGGGAGGTGGTGGAGTCACCATCCCTGGAAGTCTTTAAAAGACGTTTAGATGTAGAGCTTAGGGATATGGTTTAGTGGGGACTGTTAGTGTTAGGTTAGAGGTTGGACTCGATGATCTTGAGGTCTCTTCCAACCTAGAAATTCTGTGATTCTGTAATGATATTGCAAGACATTTTTGATCTGTAAACTAGCTGAGGTGATCTGTGAAAAGATTCCGAAATACAAACTGGAGGGATATGCCTGGGAGTATCTGAGCACATTCAGGCAATTTCTAACAGAATTGTTAGTGTCTGCATTCATGAACTGTTTTCTTTTTCTCACAGATACACTCTTGAGATGATCACAGCAGTGCCACATAATGAGAGTGCTTGGAACTATTTAAAAGGGTGAGCATCCTTTGTAGTGGAAAGAGAGTTTCTATGAAAGGAAGGTGCCTTAAACTATGACTCCTCATGCCTTGTGCCTAGCTTTTCAATGGAAAAAGCTTTTTGCTATGCATTCTAGGGTTGTGTGCTTAAACTGACAGGCAAAACCTTCACAATGGTATGATACGTAATTTCTCCGTAACTTTCTGCTAAGTTTCTGGCCCTCTAGTTCATGTAGGAGGACTGCAAGGACTTCTGGAGAGTAGACCTGTAATTTTATTGGCTCCAGAGCATAGAGTAGAAAGTAACAAGCATGCTTTCAGTATACTTTCTGTTGAGTTGGGCCTAACTCTGCTAGCTTACTACAGCATTAAGCTATATTATTGCTGCATTATAATTACACTGCATACTTACTGCCTTGCTCGTATTTGTTCCTTTATTTCAAAATTGATCTCCAAATAAAGGAGTTATAACTAAACTGTAATTCTTCACAGCAGATATCCTAGCATTATGTTTGAAGTCTTTTGGCCTCTGTTCCAGGATTCTACAGGATCATGGTCTTTCTAAATATCCATATCTGCTCGATCAACTGTTGAGTTTACAGCCCAGCCACAGTTCGCCCTATCTGATTGCCTTTCTTGTGGACATCTATGAAGATATGCTTGAAAACCAGTGTGATAACAAGGAAGAAACACTAAACAAGGCATTAGAGGTACATTTGGAGAGCTTGGGTTTGCTTTCAGGGATGCTGTCTATTGCTCTCATTTTATATTCAGTCAAAATGGATTAGTTTTTGTAAATGGAACAGGTCACTTGTTAATCACAGCAGCACTATGAAGAGTTGGACACAAGAGTCTTGTTTATTTATCCATAAACAGTAACTCACCAGTTACTAAGCCACTGTAATTTTTCTTCACCAGGTAGTAAAGGAAGGTTTCTAATACCACCTGCTGAAGAAGATAAATGTTTGAATAAGAGAAGTTTCCAGCGGTAGTTTTGTAGCATAAACTCTTTCTTTTTAGTCTGTAGGTTACGGAGTTTTGTTCTCATCCTGTCTGTATTTGATTGGATGCTCAAGCTCCCTTTGCACTTCTTAGTTATTTCTAAGACAAATGATGGAATTAGCTTAAAACAGCAGATGCTAGGAATGTCAGTAAGGAGTGTTGGGCACCATTCCTCACAGAGAATAAATGATTACTAGCAGCGTTGTTTATCTCCCTTGCTTCATATTTGGGAAATCCAGTGTCTTGCAGTGTAGTTTTATAAGAATACTTTTTTCACTTTCTTTGGGACAGATTGGAACTCAGTGTGATTAGAGCTGCAGTTCTTGCCTGGAGTCTCTGTGTTCTGACATCGTTCTCTCTTAACAATTTTCCATTGTTGTATTCCAAGACCAGAGTCTAAATATACATAGCTGTATCTCCGTCCCTTAATACTATTTCACTGAGTTTGGTTTCTTCATATATTCAGGCATTGAAGCTGCTATTTCTGCACTTTGGTTCACTAAGAAAGGCAATGTCATCTGCACAGTAAGGGAATTGACCGGAATGTTTGTGGGTAGTGTGCATACCATATGTGTTTTATACATCATGTCCTGTGAGTAGGGTTGAATTACACCCAGCTGTTCACCCAGTTGAGAATAAAACAAAAGTCAGGACATGTACCTGTATTGAGCACCAGCTCTAAGTTGTGGGAGGGGATCACTGCCTTGCATTGAGAACCCTTTCAGGACAGTCTGCTGAGAGCAAAAACAACAAAATATCACCTGTCCGTTCATCTAGAGTACTGGAGAATCAAAAGTGGATTCACTTTTGTTCCTCCACTTTTTTAAACCGAGTGGTTTATAACCTATTGTTTTGTCAAGGGACGCCGTATTACACTATAGGCTGAACAGTCTGGGGTAGATGCAAACCATAGGCAGAGGAAGCAGCAGCAACTGAAATAGGACTGGAGATTTTTGTGCACTGTCAGGCTGATTAACTGCTGTTTGGAGCTGGCATCAATTTGAAGTCCTTGTACATCTGGAAAAAAAAACCAACACTTGTGAATAAAACTGTATTGCTAAAAAGTATCTATAAAACTAGCTGACCCATCCTTTGACTGTATTTTGTAAAGATAATTAAACTTCTGGTATAACACTGCAATCTCTCAATTTTCTTTCTTAGCTCTGTGAAATTCTGGCTAAAGAAAAAGACACCATCCGAAAGGAGTACTGGAGATATATTGGAAGATCCCTTAAGAACAAGCACAGCGCCGACGCTGAATAGAGCACACTGACAGACAAGCAGCAGTAACTGAACGTGGAAGAAGCTGTGTTAAGCTCTCGACCTGCTGTAAAAGAGTACTAAGTAGAGGACATCAACTAGTGTAAAAGCCAGTGTAGTATTCCCCTGGCCAAAGAGGTTTTGCTGCAAAGAAGAAGTGCAGAGCGCAGTACAGGCTCTTGGGTCACCGCTGCTACTGGTGATAGATAGCTCTGGTGCTGCAGAGAAATATAATTAAGGCTTAATTATTTAAATGTACCAAATACAGGATTTATTTCATCATAGGACATATATAAAGCTGTATGTGCTATTTCATCATAGGAAATACATAAAGCTGTATGTGGTGCTTCATCATAGGAAATATATAAAGCTGTATGTGCTATTTATAAAGCACTAAACCAGTTTCTTACATGTAGGCTTATCCACTTGCTGTTCCTAACAGCCATATCAGGTGCTGCAGTAATGACTGCAAGTAACACTAGGCATGGATGGTATAAAGTAACCTGCTTCAGATTAGTGCAAGTAGGTGCTCTAGTTGCCTGTCGTGGGCGCAGCTGTGCAGCATTAGCAGCATGTGCTATTGCACGCAACTAACACCAACTGTCATTTTGAATAAAAACAGATAACTTAAAGTGTTCGTCTGAAATTTTTTGTGATTTTTTTTTTCATATTTGGATGTGCATTGTTCTTCTCAGGTGCTAGCAGAGATAAAAGCAGAATATCCCCTTTAGGTGCACTGGACACTATTGCGTCGATGTGTCTTTTGCACTGGTGTATTCGTATCACAGTACTTCTAAATATCCTTGAATTCTTGTCTGCACGTCACAAAGAATGGTTTGGGGACCCAAAGATTTGCTTATTTTTTTCTTTAAATTCTGTTCGGACAAGTGAAAATCTGAAATTTTGTTGTTGGTTTTGTTGGGTTTTTTTGTTTGATTGTGGGTGGGTGCTTTGTTTTTTTTTTTTTTGTCTTTCTGTTTTTTTTGTGTGTGTGTGTTCATGGTGGGTAGTTTTTGTCTTCATCCTTTGTAATCAGAGAAGTCTAAAGTCATGCATCAGAAGTGGTTGTAGCTAACTGATTATGCTATATATCTTTACGTGGCTGGAAAGGAGGGAACACTTATTGCAGACCTGCATTAAATGCCTTGACCTTGTTTCTGTAGGCTTTTCATGTCTTTTCCATGGAAATATTCAGCCAAAAAATATTTTTCCTTGCAGTTGTGAAAGATGCAAGATGGCTGAAATACAGAAGTGCAAAGGTGGTGCATACCTGTACAGAAGCTTGTTTTCAGTAAATGACTATTGTAAACTTTGTTCTTAGCATAGTGTGCTTGTCTGATAAGCAGTATTTTCTTGCAAATTATCATGCAAGGAACAAGTAATAGTATTTATTTCATAATATGAACAGTCTTTCTGATACTGTTAAAAGCTGCTGCCATAATTAAACAGTAGTGGAGATTATTTCAGGAGCTTGAAATATGTTGATTCTGTGTATTCTTCAGATTTAAAACTACTCACAGGAAATTGAGTTAGTACATACAATCCACATACTACCTTTAATGTCTTGCCACTTTTCCAGAAGTAGAAAAAGCATTTTGTCATGACACATGAATGTTAAAAGTGAACATGAGCTTCAGACTTCTGGAGATTTATCTGCTGTATATGTATTTTTTTACCACAGTTGAAGTTCCAGCATAAAACAAAAAAATGTATGTTTCTACTCAGATAAATTGTTCCTAACAGAAACGACACTAAGTTTGTAATTCTACACAGACAGAAGTATGTTCAAGGACTTTAGGGCAAAGTAATGTATTTGCCATTGACAGTCAAGAAAGCTCACAGAGGTGCAACACAAATGCAACTATTAAAAAAAAATCATAAATCAAGAGGGAACAGAGAAGTGGTTTTGTCTCTCCATATGATGTTACAAAGTTCCCACAGTTCTTATAAACACAGTTTGATAATGAGTAAGGCAAAGGATTCTTTCTAGACACCAGCATGAGTTTCAGACAAAATTATTAATCTAATGTAAGATGATGAACTGTGTCTGCTGGGACAGTACTTCCACACGTGACCTTCTGTGTCTGACAAAATAGCTTAGATACGGCCATTATTGTGCTTCTCTGTCAGTGGGGTGCTCTGGCAGGTCTTGCAGATTGTTATCTTATGGTGTGGTCAACTTCTGGCCTCCTATTTCATGGAAATGATTTCTAGAAGTAATCAATGAGCTGTCATTATCTGGTGACAATGTTAACAGGGTTTTATACTAGTTATACAAGCAAGTATCCTTTTCTCCAATAGCTAATTTTACCAAAATAGGAATAATACACTCAAAAAATGTACTGTAACAGGAAAAAAAAAAATCTTGGCTCAAGTAAAAAGCACATGATCAAACAAATCGTGCAAGTGCTAAGAGACCAGGCTAGAGTCCAGTTAAAAAAATATATATAAATAAAAATAACAAGGCAATACATTTACCAGAAATGGTTAGTGTTTTGTTGTTGTTTTGTTTGTTTGTTTTGTTTTTTGTTTTCTTTCTAATGGTTTGTTTGTTTTGGTTTTTGTTTTCTTTCTAATGGTTGTGTTTATTCCTATTCTGACTGTAAGGCAGCTCTAAAATTCTTTTCAAAAGACACCTTGGTTCTGTTGTAGCCAACCACACCCAGAAATACTGAGCTGTCAAAACTGTGAAAATGACAGGCTCCCCAGCCAGCTAGCAACTGCAGCTACCAAGCCTTCAATTTTAAAAATGTCTGAGGCAGAATCTTTCTCATAGAAGCGAGAGCTTGACAAAGCATATAAGCTATAGAGAGCAGGATCTTACAGTAGGAAGTGTTAGAGGACTAACCGATCAGCATTGCTACTGACTGCTGTGATCAGGGAAAACAAAACTGCTTTATCGTAGATGTTTGTCTGTACAAGAAAACTTACGGTTGTAACTGATTGTATGTAGTGGTGTGACTCTTGTGTACTGAATTTTACTACTGAAGAGCTGTGTCAATGGAAAAAGTGATTGGTACAACTGTCCCTTGTAAATCTGTGTTACTGGAACCTCAAGTGAAATACAGAGAACTATTAAAGCACGTGAAATAATTTCCTATACCTACTTTCGTCAGAGTCTGATGTTATTATTGCCTTGGTCTAGCTGTGTCTATCTGTCTAAGCCCTCACAGACTTGCATCTTATTGTCAGTGCAATTTGGCTGACAAAACTGTGCAATTCCTTCCTAATCTATTCAGTACAAAGCCACCTCAACTAGCACAACACGCTTTATCAGTTGCTGTCTAGCTGTGCTGAGACAGATTAGGAGCACGCTGTTCTGCTGGATCTTCTGTGGGAGCAATATTCTTCTCCAGCAGGGAAGCATTAAGGTTTCTAATCACTCCGGCCATGCAAAACACTTCAGCCCAAGCACTAGCAGGCAATTCATAGAGTGCGGTGGTGACAATGGGCCTGTGGAGAGCTGTGCCCCTACAAGAGCGCAGAGAGGTTTAAAGCTGCTGCGGCTTTTAGAACAAAGGGGTAAAGAAACAATGTGATGTGATGGTGTGGGATCACACAAAGGCTTTGCAAATGCTGGTGCGACTTGGCTATGTGCAGATTCAAATAGGCAGTGGAGACACTGCAGCTGCAGTTTTTCTGCCTCGTGCATGTGAATGAAGAGAGAATGTCTTTATTAACGCCTTGAGCCACATGTCGCAGATGTTGTCACAGATACAGCCTAGTGGGTGCAATTCGATGAAAAATGTTCCTCAGCTGAGCCCTCGTCCTCTCCTGAACATCTGTGTCTTGTGCAATTGTTGGCATTCTGGGATAAGGCTTTGAAGTTTCCATTTAAGTCTCCGGTTTTGCTGGTGATTCCCCTGCATCTGCTTGGGTGGCAGCAGGTTTCCCTTGTATATCTTCTGCTTAGCACAAGTTGTTTTGGAAAACCTGGGCAAGCCGATGTTTGGCTGAGTTTTAGCAATCCTGCAAATGTGGCAGCACAGCTTTTTACTTTCATTCCAGCCATAATAAATATCCCGCAGGGGTTAGTTTTTCTTGCAAATGACCGTATCTATTAAGTACTTCAACTTGAAAATACTTCATCTCCCTGCAAGGCTGTACTGGCAGGCTTTGGGTACAACACATTCCAACAGCAAAGGGTACAAAATTGCATTTGAACATAATATCTGTATCGCTTCTGTTCTATAACTGGTCTTTCCCAGAATCCTGGGCAGTTTGTACTGGTCTCTGTGATTCAGGTCATGAATTTAAAGTTTAAAAGCTAGTTTAAAGGACTCTGTGTATGTTTAGATAAGTACAGTCTGTATAGGTGTCTATTTAAGGCAGACGAACAGCGGATGAAATCTCCAAAGTAGAGAATGGAAATCTGTAGACAACCAGCTGTTTGTTTCCACAATAGGTTATCTAATACTGAAATGTTCAAGTAAGGATGGTCTGTACCTAGCACAAGTCACACTGCAAAAGTGACACAGTCATATTCTCCATTCATTTCTTCTCTGCTCTTGGTATCTTTTCATTTCAGTGCATCAGTCGGCTTAACAGCATAACGTCCTTCAGATACAAGACGCTTTGAAAATCAGGAGCCTATTTCGGGACAAGAAATGATGCTGTTGACGCTGCTGGGAGAGGATCAGTTCTACAGATTCTGTGCCTCCTTGTGCCTGCTCTTGAGAAGGAAAAAAAAAAAAAAAAAAAGAGGACAGGACAGGACAGGAGAGATTACTAGATTTAGATGGCAATAACACTTTAGGATGTCCAGGTATCTATGTAGGCTGTCCTATGCAAACTCCGTTCAGCTGAGACGCCATGGGATGTGTGTGCTTGTAAGGTTTTAGCTTTGGGAAATCAAAATCCTTGCCTTTTCCTTTTCCTCTGGTGTGCAGCGGGGAAAGCCGGCGTTAGTCACTAGGTGGCAGTGTGAAATTCCCCCTGGGTTTACGGTCTCGGGCTGTGTGCAGGCAGCAGGAGGTGTAACAGGGACCCCCCCGGTTTTTTTCTCAGTGCAACGCAATTAATTTCACACCTGCTAGTTAAGCACGGGAGAGCAGCTGCTCGGTAAGCGAATACACAGCACCGCAGAGGGCTCAAGCACCACAAGTACTCTGGCAAAGGCCCTGTGGTCATCTTCAGCAAAAACCAGCGGTGTTAATTGGAGACCACTTTTTAATTAACCGAAGTGATGCAGAGGATTTCCTTGCTGCCCCTGACCGCGGACAGCTGATGCCGGATTTGTTCTCTGTTGACTCCTGGTGTTCCAAAATAAACGGGTGACTAAGCCCCTCTGCTCGGAGGGTGGGTTTTGTGGTCAGTTGGCAACTTCTGTAGACATGCCTCCAGCTCGAGTCACATCTTCAAGCACCTTCAAAAGCTGGGAGGTTTTGTCTCACTAAAAACAGCCTTAATGTGGCAAGTTTCTTTAGTCTCTCTGCGACAGAGGGATGGGCATTGCCAGCCGTTTTTGTCAATAGTGGTTGAAGGCAGAGGATTTGCCTCTGCTTCTTGCAAGTCAAGGGACGTTTTGGGGCTCCTGAAGAAACAGAGGGTGCTATTGTAGGTCCCAAAGTGCTTTCACTGCTTGTCAGGAAGCATGACCAAGGACCTCAGTGAAGGAGAGCAAAGACACACCCCTCTTCCTGGCCCATATGTTTGTCAAAACTCAGTCTTGTGAGCTGCCACCACCTGTAAAGCTGGCTCTGGTGCTTCTGCCAGTGAAAGGCTGCCACATCTGTACTGCTTGTGAGCAGGGATCTTGCTATTAGAGAAGAGGTCTTGCAGTGTCTGGACTTCTTGAATTCTCTCTCTCTCTCTTTTTTTTTTTTTTCCAAGTACTTTATTGTTTTCCTAATCTGTCCTGTCTGTTGTGTAAGTCATCTCTCCAGCAGACTCAAAAAAAAAAGCTCTAAAAAATACTTGGGATGCTACCAAGAAGCTTTAGGAGTGGAAGAGAAAAGGAAAAGTGGGCTGCGTTCATACTGTTGATGCACAAGCCCTTTTCTACCCCTTCTGGCAAAGCCTGTCACAGAACAAGAAGATGGCAGATAGATAACCTTCTTCTCTTATCAGATTCAAGATTACATACATCTGTCCCTGCTCCAGCTTACAGCTACACCTTGAATGTGAGTTTGCTCATGGCCTTACTAAAGGATAATGAAAATACACTGTCTCTGTACATCATCGTGTGAGGTGTTCACTGGCTCTGCTAACTGCCTCTTGCATTGACAGTTTCTCTACTGCAAATTGAGCCAAAATGACCGCTTTTGGGCACCAACCTGTAGTCCCTGTGCATAGCAGGTGCGAAGGGCTCTCAGTCACAGTAACCCTTTGCAGCACCTTGCCAGCCCTCTGCTGCCTGATAGAGGCAGTGCCAACCACCTCGCTCAGTCTTTTTAGAGGTCTGGGCCACAAAGGCTGAGCTCTGCTGAAAGTTTCAATAAATCGAGTGTTCAGTATTTTAAATGGGCAAAGAAGAACCCAAAACATGCATTTTTGAAAGCACATTTTCAAACGTAATGTTGATCATTCTTTAACTGAAAAATAAAAAAACTTGTAAATTTAGAATAGAAAACTGATTGGCTTCTGATATTGAGTGCAAATGAATGAGAGAGATCTGTTTTAGGTAAGACCTCAATTTTTATTAGAAGGAGATGTCTGGACAAAGCCCCCCAAAGTGTGTGAGTTCTAATTGTCATTAGTGGTCTTCCAGGCACAGGTCTCCTAAGTCCCTCTGCTGAAATTTTCTCTGGCATCCTTGTAGAAGGAAGAAGAAGAGGGATGATTGGGTCTGGGGCAATCTGAAATTACTGCTCATGCATCACTAATAATGGCTAAAAATACTACAGCACATGGTTTCAGCAAAGGCGTCTGCTGCAGAGCCAGACAAAGCTGCCCAGCACACCCAGCAGTTCTGTGCATTTGCAGTAAGAGCAGTGCTTTCCCTCCAGGTTAGGCTGTATCGACTTTCTCATTTCTTTTTCTAATTGCTAATACATTGATGGCCCTGCACATGACGGAGGTATTCAGGCTAAAATTTATAGGGAGAGATGAGGAAGGGAAAGATGGGATATAGCCCCTTGTGTTGCAGGATTGCTATACCGTATCCATGACCCTCTTACCCTGGGTTTTATACCCCATGCTGCCAGCTTTTTGATATTGCCTTATAGTATGGGCTCTTTCTAGCAGGAAAAACATGTTTTTCCATGTTTGAGACCCCCTGGTGTACTCAGAGACACCCCCTGCCCCAGCAAATGCAGTGTACTGCATAAGGTAGCCGCGGGCTTAAATTTTACTGAAAAGAAACATAGATCTGAGATTAAGTGCTGTCCTTTGCAAGGAGCAGCTTGTCTCTGGTATCAAACGACATCCAACCACAAGAACAGGCACAGAGCATGACTCAAAAAGGCCAGACAGGGCCACTCAGTGCTTTGAACTCCCAGGGAACCCGCCCAAGAGTGGATGTCATTTTGAAAGAGGTGAGGGACGGCAGGAAAGAAACGGTGAGAAGATCAGAGAGCCACAAAAGCCGAGCTCACAGCCAGCAGCAGCGTTGTAGCAAGGCCCTGAGAAACATGTGCATACAATATAGCTGAGAATGGGAGGAAGAACTGTTTGTAATGATGAGCAGATATTGTTTTATTTGCTTCCTCCTGCTCATTGAAATAGGGCTTTGTAAGTAAACAGGATACACCCGGGTATCTCCTCCTCGCTGGAACAGCGCTTGAGATTCTCCACTTCTGATTCATTCCGATGGAATGGAGTCAAAACAGCCACATATCTGGTTATCAAGTAGACGAATACTGGTCGGTTCAATGGTAACCTGCAAAGGAACGGTCACAGTAACTCTGATAAATGATAAATTATTATTTTCTTTGTCCTCTTCGGACGGGGAGCGGAGCTGGAATTCGGAGAATTTTTAAGAGCTGTTTCTATTTCTTCACAGAGCATGACTTCAGGTCCTGTAAGAACAGTATGCCTGCTGGCACCATGCCATGGCAAGGCACTGGTGCTGGTATGCAATCAGTGAGAAATATTTCTGTAAGAGGACAGAATGACTTGATGAATTTTCAGTGTTTGCTTTGGCTCAAGCTCTTCATGAAGCC